ATATTTTTGGGGGGCAAATTTCGGAACAATCTTTTGAACAATTATTAGAGCAATGCATGATGGGCAATAGTGTTCTACAATGCCTTTCTTTGTGTCCCACATTTATTTATATAAATATACAAACGTGTTAACAACCCAATATTGTTAATCAACCAGGTTGTCACCGAAATGATTATAATATAATAGTAGCCTTACGTTGTTTTTTAAATGTATTAATGCCAATACTGTTTTCTATGCTTGTTTTCGCTTAATACTTTGGGATAATAATAATATAATAATATGCCATTTAGCAGACACTGGTGCATTTGTAGTCAGAGACACTGGTGCATTTGTAGTCAGAAATACAATTTTCTCCTGTAGGCAACAGTAGGCTTACACGATTTTCTTCATAACACAGTTCATATTTAATGGAGCCTACATTACACCATTTTCTTAATAATGTATTTAATACAGGGCTCCATTTTTTCGTGTACATTACACCATTTCTTTCATAATGCATTTTATACAAGGCTATGTCAACTTTTATGAGGGTTGCCAGATTGGAGAAAAAAATACAGATTATTTCTTTTTTGGTATCGATGAAGGTATTTGATTGGGGAATGGGGATATATTTTTATGATAGGAAATTATAATACACACCAGAATACACACGTACGCACACATACAAACATAAACACACACTCACTTTGTTTGTACTCATGTTATAGCCAACTCTTGACTTTTGTATGAATTATTTTTAATGAAATATTTGTATCTAGTTGTCATGTATTCATTATATTTAACTGGTTAAATGTTTGTAGTTGGCATGTTTCAGTAATAATTAACATGGTTAAATAGTCGTAAATCTCTGTTTGATTTAGCTTTGATATATTTGGCATTTTTATACATATTCTGTATTTCCACTGAAGAAAGCAATAACTAATCAACACACTACTGTAAATAAATGGACACTACCTGTTATAAAACGAAAATTGGTCTCTGTAAATAAATGGTGAGAAATGCTCAGTCTGAAGCAAATCGGCAATGGGTTTCACAGCCCTATAATAATGATACAAGTTATATCAGCTTAAAAGGGGTTTATTTACAACCTATGGGGTATAAGATATTGTGAATAGTGGCATGAAATACCCTAACCCTAAACTATGTTCAATGTCAGCATCAATTTCCATTGAGAAATGCTCAATCTGAAGCCATTCGGCTATGGGTTTCAAAGCCCTATAAAAATGATACAAGTTATATCACCTTAAAAATGGTTTATTTACAACCTTTGGGGTATAACGTGTTGGGCAAAATGGTGTAGGAGAGTCTGACATATAACCCCTAACTTGAGTTCAGTCTCTGCAAATGAGAATCATTGGGGCCTAGCTTTGTCCTTCAGGACTGGGAAAGGCCTTGATTCTAGGCCGTAGAAAATCCTACATCCATCTCATTAGATCAGAACAGGATGGATCAACAGTGACTCATATTACTGGTTTGTATCCTAAAAAAGGATAGTTCTGTTTTTCTGCATAAGACGTTTACATTATTTGTCTACCCATATGATGTGGATCATTGTCAGGTTATTTGATATATAAGCTTCAATAACAAAATAATACCATGGTTGTAATAACACTTTATACAGGTAGTTTGTAGATGTGTAGAATGTGTTTGTTTTGGGTCCACACTGGTAAGTTAACTTATGTAAATGTCTAGTCATAGACGATTTTCTTCTGAATAACTGGTCAGGGCATAGCAAAAGCCATTCAGCTTAAGGCAACTTTGATGTAAGGCTTGATCCCACCTGTAGTGAGTACTTCTATCCGTCACGCCCATTGTTGCTTATCCATTGTTCACTAGATATATCAATTTAATTACACGCAACACAATGTTGAAAAACAGAATGCTTCCCACCACTAGATCACATAACTAGACGTGACTGGACGTGATCCCAACGCTGCCACCAACGTAGCGTAAGAAAGTGAAAGCTGCAATAGGGACTCTAACCAGGGCTCATATGTGGCAAAGTGAGCAATTTTTTTTATATATAAATAAATGTGGGACACAAAAAAAGACGTGTAGAACACTGTTGCCCAAAATGCATTGCTCCAATAACTTTTAAACATTGTTCTGAAGTTTGCCCCCCAAAAATGTATTTTCCTATGAATGAAACACTGTTGCCCAAAATGCATTGCTCCAATAACTTTTAAACATTGTTCTGAAGTTTGCCCCCAAAAAATTTATTTTCCTATGAATTAAGTCACACAATTTTTGTGTCTTTTCCTACGAATTAAGTTGCACAAAAATGTGTGTGTTTTCACACAAATTAAGCCACACAAAAATGCACGAAATCTGCTGAGATACTTTTTGTACATATTTGTACGAATTGAGTGTGAGATTGTATTTTTCAACTAAGGAAGATGGAGCCAAGCAAGGTCTTCAATGTTCACGTACTCACATATTCAACTTCTTATAGCCTACAATTGATCGACATCATTGTAGACCGACCTCTATGCACACCTGGAACCAAAATGACCCTGAACCACTTCTACCCCCAAGCCATAAGACTGCTAAATAGTTAACCAAATAACTACTATCTGCATTTACCCTTTTTGCACTAACTTTTTTTGACTCATCACATACGCTGCTGCTGCTACTGTTTACTACCCTATCTGTCACTTTATTCCTGGTTAGGCCTATATGTACATATATAACTCAATTACCTCTTACCCCTGGACATCGACTCAGTACTGGTACCCCTTGTATATAATAACCAAGTTATGGTTACTCATTGGGTATCTATTATTACTTTTATCATTACGTGTTTTTCTTTTCTATTATTTCCCTATTTTATTTCTCTCTGCCTTGTTGGGAAAGGCCCGTAAGTTAGCATTTCACATGTGACGAATACAATTGGATTTGACCTTCTCATTGTTTAGAATGTGCATAAAAGCGGCACACTTGTTCCAAAAGATGGCTCATGGCACCCACACACCCGCCCACTCCTGCAAATACACACGCTCACGCTTAACACCTAGGTGCAACCTTACCTTGACACTCCATTAGCTATTAACCAAACCCGACCGCCCCACCCACCCTACCACACACACACAATCACACCTGCATCATTAGGGAGTGAATTGTTCTTTACCTTTTTACGCACATCCTTTGGCCTTTGTTAACCTTGAAACTACACTTGCAATAATTTTGTTAGCCTACACTTGAAATAGTATAAATAGCACATTACCCACTGGACTCAGACGTCAGTTCAAAGTCCAGTTTTGATTTACATTTGATTTTAACTGTCAACTAAAATGAATTCAACGAGAAATCAACACACATGTGAACCATGTCATTGGATAGGTTAAAAGTTGGGTGAAAATAGACAAAAATTAATTCCCGAAATTGCAAATGAAATTGCAATCAGTTTTCCACGTTGATTCAACATTGCATTTTTTGTTTAAATGACATGGGAAACAACGTTTATTCAACCAGTGTGTGCCCAGTGGGTATTGTAGTGACTTCAATAAATATTATTGTGATAGTGGGCCTATGGTTAATTGGGTAAGCTGGGTTGTGTATTGAATTCACCACCCTCTCTCCTGGAACAGTCCTGTTCTCACTTGGCCTGTAAGTATAACGACACTTTACGGAGTGTGCCGATATATCACACATCATAAAACATAACGATTCACCTGTTTGTCACTTCTTCACTGTTCCCATGAGAAAGTATATTTTCCCATAGGCACACTTCCATGGTGCCAGATGCACACACAACGAAATGGCATTTGTAGACAGGAGAAAATGCAACCTACAATTGTGACCCTTTAAACAACAAACTGGGTCGCCATAATATACTAGTGTTGTTTAACATAATAGCATTTTATTTTCTTCATTGCTGCATCTGCTGCTTAGCATTATTATAACCCTGATATAGTCTATAGGCTAATAATAATTCGTTATTCGACAACGTGATCAGTAAAAAACAGAGCCAAATGTGATTTCCTAGGTGTTAAACATTTGCTATGGTCTTCCCGTACAGTATGTATCCAAGAGGTGTTAAACTCATCACCATGCTCTCTCCATCGCTCTCTGATTTCCGACTATTTTACATTTTTTTTTGTTGCTTTCGAGCAAATCTAACTCTAAAAACAAGAACTAATCCTACTGTTGATAATTATTTAGTATGGTGACGGGTGTTTATCAGATTAGCCTAGTTTTAAATAGAATTTGAATTAGAAATACAAAATTAAAATCGAAATTAATGACAAATATGGCCTCATATGTTATTCAGCAAGAGAGCTTTGAAATAGTGGATTTTCCCATTAGTTTAGCATTTCGTATTTTATTAGGATCCACATTAGCTGTTGCCAAGGCAGCAGCTACTCTTCCTGGGGTCCTGACAGAGATAAAACATTACATCAAACAAAATATTGTGCATTATACAAATGTACATTGCTCCATTATTACATTACAATATTACAATACTACATGACATTAAAACTTCCCACCCATAAACACTATCTTAATTTATCTAATTTTATTTAAATTACAATGAAGTTGCAGGAGAGAATTTTCGGAGTTTTAAGTTACGTCACCGTCACCTCTACACCAATCTCTGTGGCCTCTGTGATATATAAACTGGTTTAGCACTGCGTACCCCATTCAGTCAACACCCGTGACCCGAACTGCAAGGATCTCACCAGTCCGTGCCATTTTTCATCTGGACATTTTTTCTTAAAAAATGGGCACAATGATGAAGAAGAAAATTCGAAATTCAAACCTGAATAATACCAAAAGTATAAAAAGGGTGAGTAGGAACGGGTATTTTTAAACTCTGATGTTGGTATGTTTTCAGATGTGTCATGTGTAGGCTATGGGAAATGCATGGAAAAATTGAATTATAATAGCCTTATGCTTTTCAGAATGGTATTATGGCTGTACCTAAATTAAGGTAAACTAGGCCTATACAAACATAAATCAGTTTGATTACAATTTGCACCTCGCTCCCCCCTCTTGTCTCGATGCAGTTGTTAAAGCCGGTTATAGAGAAGAAAAGACGAGACCGAATAAATCAGAGTCTTAGCGAGCTAAGGACTTTGTTGCTGAACTATACATTAGATTCGGTGAGTTTTTCAATCCTATATAGCATTCATTGTTGTAGTCTGTGAGTCTATAGGGCCATCCAAAGCAGTCTATTCACTCTATTAATCTTGACCACTCACAGCGTTTACAGAACCCCAAACTGGAGAAAGCAGAGATTCTAGACCTGGCTGTAGAATATCTTCAAAAAAGGACAGACAAACGAAGCATGAGCAAAGGTAGGTCTATCTAATTAGCTCTAGACCTATGTGTGTTGTGAATGATCATCTGCAATGCATGAAATTGTCTGCAAAAATTCACAATAAATAAAAAATGTCCCTCTCCTCTCCCACCCGTTCACTTTTTTTTAAATAGATTGTTCCACCCAGGCTGTGTGTGGGCCGAAGGAGGTGCAACAGGATATTCACAGTGAGGTTTCCATGGCAGGCATCCCCATTCCCACAGCAGCAGCAGCATACTCCAGGTCTGCTCTCCCTGCCATCTACACCGCAGGCTTCCAACAGTGTGTTTCTCACCTGGCTGGCTTCATGGGCAGCAGCAGCCCCTTGGAGAGAGAGGGCTTCATCCTCCTCCAAGGGCTGAAAAGCTACATAGACAGTCAGTACCCAACCACAAACCCCAGTACAGCCATGTACCCATCCAGTCAGTACCCAACCACAAACCCCAGTACAGCCATGTACCCATCCAGTCAGTACCCAACCACAAACCCCAGTACAGGACAGCTGCAGTGCCCATCCTCTTCCTCAACAACAGACTTCCATCTGAGGTCGGGTGGGAAGGAGATGGCTCATTGGGCAGACATGGTGCCTGTGAGAGAAGGATGCCGTCACTCTAAACAGGGGACTGTTCTCTGTCTCTGCAAATCCACTTTGTCGACCACCCACCATTCTTCCTGCCAACCTGGTGGCCACTCGTACCTCTTGACGCCTGACTACCTCTCCCCACCTCTGTCTCCCTGCCTTTCTTGTTCTCCTTCAGCTTTCACCACCCCTCCTCCCTATTCCTCATTTCCCTGTCACTTTCTTTTCCCTCCCAGCCTGTCACCTATTTCCTCCGACCCCTCCTGCTCTGGATCCCTGTCGCTACATAACATCCCACCTCCTCCAGTTGGTTTTTCACCCACCCTCCCTCTCCCGAGCCCCCCTCTCCTCTCATTTCCCTCCCTTACCTCTCAGCTGTCCCCTGGGTCTGCGCCGAGGCGAGAATTATTTATTAACTCCACACACTGGAGACCCTGGTAGAAAGCCAGGTGCGCACAAAGTGACTATGAAACAGTTCAACTGGACCAACGTTAGAGAAACTGACAAGAGGAGAGAGCCAACTGGTGGAGATCATGGAGGTAACCGGAACATGACTCTGCTGCTGCTGACATTTAATGTGGTGCTCTTCTCCTTTAATTGACTCTCCTCATCATTTCTGAAATGTCCCCCATATTTGTAACGTCAATGTTTATCATCTCTCTCTCACTTTTTAGATAAGGCTTGTAAATATGAGTTGCATAAACTGTGTATAAATGAATATATATATATATACAATATATTTACAGGATAATATATATATATTGTCCTGTAAATATATTGTTAGAGAATAAACTGAACTGTACAACGGAAACATAACTCAATCGTTATTTTTCTGATGGTTAGGATGATCCTTACTGTAAGGTTGTCCTTGGCCTGTGCCTGAACGCTCTGTAAATTGAAATTCCCATGTAGGTATGCATAGGTGAGGTGACTTGTTGCACACTCCCACCTAGTGTCTTGATTGGGTACTGCAGTCATTCCATGTGGTTTGAGGGGAGCGTCTATTCAATACCTTGCCAGCAGAAGGCGCCATCAGCTCAAAGAACCAGAGTAGTGCGTTAGAAGGCTCTCTCTCCATCTCTTTGACCCTGTCACAATGAAATCAGTAAGATACGCTGTCAGTTCAATAGAGCACTTCATTGTTTCTGGCTCTTTTACCAGCCCGTGATAAGCCTAAGATGCTTCATACAAGCATCATTATTTTCTCTCTGTCTCTCCCAGGCTCAGATGAATGCTCACCCTTCTCCTAATCTGCTGGTCTAATCTCTTTTACAAGACCTGAATATTTTCTGTACAAGGCACTGAGGGATTTGGCTAGGAAAAACAAGAATTTATGACAACGATAGAAAAGGGAGTGGGATGAAGGTTCGGTAGCTGAGAGAGAAAGACAAGAAAGAAAGAAAGACAGAAAAAAGCGAAAGAAATCCTCAATCCCTCACTCCCTCTCTCCCTCCCTCCTCCCCCTCCCTCCTCCCTCCCTCCCTCCCTCCCCCCTCCCTCCCTCCCTCCCTCCAATCCCACCCTCCCTCCCTCCCTCCTTCCTCCCTCTTCATTGAAGAGGCTTTCTCTGTACCATTGCCATTAGTTATGAGGTGGCCATTGTTCATTGTCAGAGATATAAGAAGGCAGACAGGCACATCAGGTTAATTTTCCACACTGTCTTTCTGCAGGTTTGGATCATTCCTGAATGAAAGAGCCATGTGACAGTTAGTAGAAAGGGCCGGCCACCAAGCTAAAAAGGATATTCTACCGCTGCATTACTCATAATTAAAAGGGAAAGTGATGACCTGACAATGGTTGAAATCCCTCTGGCATTTTCTCAGGGTACGCTGATTAGTACTGATCCTGTTACTCTCTGTAATCATCATTTTGTTAGCCATGAATGCACCCCATGCATTCCTGATTAGTCCCAAACTGCCATGGAGGGAGAAACTTATAGGAAACCCACAGGAGGAGGAGGGTGTGTGGAGATGTCATGGTTTGGTCATGGTTTATTGGGTGCGTAGGTAAATACATTGGTGTTGGAAGCAGGGTTAGTGTCGAAGGCTTTCATCATTCATGTGCACGCACGCACGCACACACACACACACACACACACACACACACACATACACACACACACACACACACAAATCTTTAGGCTCACACACACACACACACACACACACACACCACACACACACACACACACACACACACACACACACACACACACACACACACACACACACACACACACACACACACACACACACACCACACACACACACACACACACACACACACACACACACACACACACACACACACATCACCCCTGGGTTTTAATTGTGTGAAAAGCCCTGTGTTAACTCTGGAAGCCCCGTGGTAACTCTGTAGTAACTCTGTGGAAGCCCTGTGGTAACTCTGTGGAAGCCCTGTGGAAGCTCTGTGGTAACTCTGTGGAAGCCCTGTGGTAACTATGTGGAAGCCCTTTGGTAAATCTGTGGTAACTCTGTGGAAGCTATGTGGTAACTGTGGAAGCCCTGTGGAAGTCTTTGGTAAATCTGTGGTAACTCTGTGGTCTTTTGTCTCACATTTTAAAAGAGATGTGTTCGATTTATTGCCTTGTGTTCTAGCATTTCAGGTGGTGTGTGGTCCAGCAACAGTGTTCCAGTTCAGGTGGTGTGTGGTCCAGCTACAGTGTTCCATTTCAGATGGTGTGTAGTCCAGCAACAGTGTTCCATTTCAGGTGGTGTGTGGTCCAGCAACAGCATTTCATTTCAGGTGGTGTGTGGTCCATCAACAGTGTTCCAGTTCAGGTGGTGTGTGGTCCAGCAACAGTGTTCCAGTTCAGGTGGTGCGTGGTCCAGCAACAGTGTTCCATTTCAGGTGGTGTGTGGTCCAGCAACAGTGTTCCATTTCAGGTGGTGTGTGGTCCAGCAACAGTGTTCCATTTCAGGTGGTGTGTGGTCCAGCAACAGCATTTCATTTCAGGTGGTGTGTGGTCCATCAACAGTGTTCCAGTTCAGGTGGTGTGTGGTCCAGCAACAGTGGTCCAGTTCAAGTGGTGCGTGGTCCAGCAACAGTGTTCCAGTTCAGGTGGTGTGTGGTCCAGCAACAGTGTTCCATTTCAGGTGGTGCGTGGTCCAGCAACAGTGTTCCAGTTCAGGTGGTGTGTGGTCCAGCAACAGTGTTCCATTTCAGGTGGTGTGTGGTCCAGCAACAGTGTTCCATTTCAGGTGGTGTGTGGTCCAGCAACAGTGTTCCATTTCAGGTGGTGTGTGGTCCAGCAACAGTGCTCCATTTCAGGTGGTGCGTGGTCCAGCAACAGTGTTCCATTTAAGGTGGTGTGTTCCAATTAGGCCAAGGTTTTGAGGGCTGGGTGTGAGATATCCGTCATGTTCATGGGGATTCACTTAACTGAATACCACTGGTTTAGTCACATTCAATAGCACTTATGATGTAAACCAGGTATGCATCCCAAATGGCACCCTATTCCCTATACATAGTACACTACGTTTAACCAGAGCCCTATGGGGCTATATAGGGAAAAGGGTGCCATTTGGGACGCAGGCCAGTTCTTTATAGATCTACATTACTCATTGAAAGTTCCTCATTAGGCTGCCAAGACTGGAATTAATTGAACTGACATTTCTGTTTTCGTTTCCTCATTCCAGAGGTACAAATCATTTGAAGTGCAACACCAACGGATTATCTACCTGACATAAAATAACTAACATCCTGTTCCAGCATTACAATAAAAGGGCTGACTGGATGTAGAGAGAGAAAGAGAGAGATAAAGAGAGAGAGATATACACTAGCAGTCAAAAGTTTGGACACACCTACTCATTCAAGGGTTTTTCTTTATTTTTACTATTTTCTACATTGTAGAATAATAGTGAAGACATCAAAACTATGAAATAACACATATGGAATCATGTAGTAACCAAAAAAGTGTTAAACAAATCAGAATATATTTTATATCTGAGATTCTTCAAATAGCCACCCTTTGCCTTGATGACAGCTTTGCACACTCTTGGCATTCTCTCAACCAGCTTCATGAGGTAGTCACCTGGAATTTATTTCTGTTTGAGCCAATCAGTTGTGTTGTGACAAGGTATTTGGTAAAAGACCAAGTCCATATTATGGCAAGAACAGCTCAAATAAGCAAAGAGAAATGACAGTCCATAATTACTTTAAGACATGAAGGTCAGTCAATACGGAACATTTCAAGAACTTTGAAAGTTTCTCCAAGTGCAGTCACAAAAACCATCAAGCGCTATGATGAAACTGGCTCTTATGAGGACTGCCACAGGAATGGAAGACCCAGAGTTACCTCTGCTGCAGAGGATACGTTCATTAGAGTTACCAGCCTCAGAAATTGCAGCCCAAATAAATGCTTCACAGAGTTCAAGTAACAGACACATCTCAACATCAACTGTTCAGAGGGGACTATGTGAATCAGGCCTTCATGGTCGAATTGCTGCAAAGAAACCACTACTAAAGGACACCAATAAGAAGAAGAGACCTGCTTGGGTCAAGAAACACGCGCAGTGGACATTAGACCGGTGGAAATTTGTCCTTTGGTCTGGAGTCCAAATTTGAGATTTTTGGTTCAAAACGCTGTGTCTTTGTGAGGCGCGTGTGGATGAACGGATGATCTCCGCATGTGTAGTTCCCACCGTAAAGCATGGAGGAGGAGGTGTTATGGTTGGGGGTGCTTTGCTGGTGACACTGTGATTTATTTAGAATTCAAGGCACACTTAACCAGCATGGCTACCACAGCATTCTGCCGCGATATGCCATCCCATCTGGTTTGGGCTTAGTGGGACTATCATTTGTTTTTCAACAGGACAATGACCCAACACACCTCCAGGCTGTGTAAGGGCTATTTTACCAAGAAGGAGAGTGATGGAGTGCTGCATCAGATAACCTGGCCTCCACAATCCCCCGACCTCAACCCAATTGAGATGGTTTGGAATGAATCGGACTGCAGAGTGAAGGAAAAGAAACCAACAAGTGCTCAGCATATGTGGGAACTCCTTCAAGACTGTTGGAAAAGCATTCCAGGTGAAGCTGGTTGAGGGAATGCGAAGAGTGTGCAAAGCTGTCATCAAAGCAAATGGTGGCTACTTTGAAGAATCTCAAATATTAAATATATTTTGATTTATTAAACACTTTTTTGGTTACTACATGATTCCATATGTGTTATTTCATAGTTTTGATGTCTTCACTATTAATGTAAAAAATTGTAAAAAATAAAGAAAAACTCTTGAATGACTAGGTGTGTCCAAACTTTTGACTGGTACTGTATATATATATATATATATATATATATATACAGTGGGGGAAGAAAGTATTTAGTCAGCCACCAATTGTGCAAGTTCTCCCACTTAAAAAGATGAGAGAGGCCTGTAATTTTCATCATAGGTACACGTCAACTATGACAGACAAATTGA